TCGTTTTAAATGCCAGGGAGGCTCTGGACGGTTAGCGGGACAGCCAGCTAGGAAGGGAGCCGGAGCTCCGGCCTTGAATTCCCGAGACCGAGGGCCCAAACTGGCCTTGAAAAGAAGCGGGCGAGGGAAGCGCCGAGCCCAAAGCTGCCCCCCCCCGCCAAAGACGCAGGCCGCCAGGCCGGGGCGGAGCGTTTCGAAGAAGCCGTCGTCCTCCAGCCTCCGCCTTTGCACCGAAGGGGGAAATGGTCCAAACCACGCGGCTCGCGTCAGGACACACCCGGCGCTTCCGCCCTAAATCAAGACTCCTTTACCCCAACTCTGAAGCGCCCACCGGTTGGCGGTCCCCCGCTGCTTAAGCTGTCCTGCTGCCGCCGCCTCGAGGCTCCTCTTTCCTTCCCATCCGTCCCCCGGGAAAGCCTCCGGAACAAAGGCTTCGTAACCACCCCCCCCGGCTCCCTCCCCGGCACATTCGCCTATCCACCCCCCTGGTGGCATCCTTTCCCCTCCCGCGAATGGACAGGCAAGGAGGCCTGCCAGGCGTGGCTTTCCCCTTCTGAAAGGCATCCTCCTCGCTCGGCTTCCTGGCTCTCCGCCGGGCCTCCCCGCGTTCCGCCCCATCCAGCTGAGAAAAGCTCCAAGGTGGACACTCCTGCTGCTCCCCCAAAGCGAGCTTCGTGAAGCTCTCTGAGGCCCCCCGGCCGGCCTGACGCTCTGAGAGACGTGACTTCTCCGGCCCCGCGTTTTCCTCCCTGTCATAGGCTCAGAACCGGCAGCTTTGCGCCACCCCCACTCCCCAAAAAAGCCGGGGGGGCATTCGTCCTGGACAGAGACATCTCCACCCCCCGGCGCCGGCCTGGCTTTGGGAGAAGCTAAGCCCCCCACCCCCGGGCTGAGGGGGAGGGGCCGCCATGACCAGGTTGGGGTGGGGGTTGTGTGGTGTGTGTGTGTGTTTGTGGGGGTCGTGTTGATTCACAGGAAACACTGACCAGAAGAGAAGCAGAGGCGAGCTTTCCTATTTCACGAGGCACCTCTTGGCGGCTTTCAACGTCCCGGCAGGAAGGGATGGCTGCAACCTTCTCTCAGTGGCCGCCCCGCCCGCTGCCCTTTTGAGCAAAGGAAAACAACCGGTGGGAGAAGCGAGGGGAGAGGAAGGGGCCCGAAGCCACCCGGGGGCCTTAAGGACCAGCACGTCCGACTGAAAAGAAGCTTATCTGGACCATAGAGCCGCCTTCTTCGGAAGTGGGGAGTACAGCCCTGGAGACATGGATGAATTCCCGCGGGAAGGGGCGGGCGGAGGGGGGGCAAGTGAGGAACAGAAGGCACTGGGGAGTCCGCGGTGGTGCTTAGGGGTCCTTCGGGGCGTGGGGCGGTTACAGAGGCTCCGGCCATGAATTTAAGAGCCACCAGTAGAAGATACACAGTAGTAAAGGACGTGCGGGAGGAACAGGTAGGCGGGCGGAGGGCAGTGCCAGTGGATCAGGGCCCAAACAACACGCCTATCTCCCAAGCTCTGCCCTCGGGACGCTGGAGGATTGCAACACCCAGCATTCCTCGCGAGGGTCTATGCTGGCTAGGACTGATGGGACTTGTAGTCCTGGAAATCAGGTGAATTCGAGAGCCGTTAGAATCTGGTTCCTGGCGGCGAAACGCACCGAATTCAGACTGGATCCAGGCGCCTCTGGTTAAAGGCCAAGCTGTAGCCCCAGAAAGCCCAAGGGAAATCTTAGAGCCGAATTCCTCCTCCGCAGATTCTTGCCCGTCGGCCTGGCAGCGGCCCGCGGACCCTTTGTGCGGCGGCTGCAGGCGTGGGCAGCGGGGGGCTGGGCTGCGAAGGGGGGCGGTCTTCCTTCCAGCGAGGAACACAAGGGGCGCCCTGTGAGCAGGACGGGCCTGGGAGGGTGCCAGCCAAGCCCCGAAGAATGCCGGCTTGTTTCTGAAGGTCAGCGACCGAGCCCTGCGGAGGTGGGCGGCAGCTGGGAAGCAGGCAGAGCTCTCGGCCGTGGACCCTCCGCGGGACCTTTCCTCTTTTCCGGGGAGGCGCGCGGGTGGCGAAGGAAGGCGGGCGCTGCCCAGGCCCTCCACCGAGAGCCCTTCGGCCTCGGGCCCAGCGCGCCTCCTCCTGCCAACATTCCTGCCGGCCGCCGCCTTCTCTGGGCGACCGAGGCTGCTCGCCAAGGACCCGCGCCCACCCGGGAAACGGCGGTGGCAAGTAGCCCGGCTGCGCTCCTGCCAGAACAGCCGGCCGCAGCCATGGGTGATAGAGAAAAGAGTTGGAGCCGGAAAGGGCATCTCTTGCGCCCTCCCTCCAAGCCGGCTCGGCCCGTGAGAGGCGCTGCGGCTGGCAGGAGGGGAGGCGCGCGCGGGGGGCGGCGGCGGCGGCACTTCGGGACAGGGCGTGAGCGGAGCGCCTCCCGGCCCGCACTCTTCACCTCTCGGCTCTGCAGCGCCAGCCTCTTTGCCCGCCTGCCCACAACCCCCCGAAGCAGTCGGTGGCTGCCTGGAACGGCTTGCGCGATTGGGGAGGAGGAGCGGCTCCTGGGGGGCCGGGAAGACGGCGAGCGGCTCCCCGCCATTCCTCCTGGCAGGCGGAGGCCGCCGACTGCCAAAAAGCCACCCCCCCGCCCTCCCTGGAGCGCCCCGACTTAGCAGCCGCGCCGCTCGCTTGGCTCCGCTCCCAGCTCCCGAGGAAGATGCTGTGGCTGCTGGCTGTCCTCCAATCATCGCGGCAATCAGAGCTTTTAATTAGGTTAATTAAATTGTATCAGACCTCGCAGGGACGCCGTTGCCTAGAGGGTCTGATGAGCAGCCAAAACAGCTCGGCTCCTGCGCCTACGGCCGCCCCCGCTCGAGAGAGCGCGGAACCCACCCCGCCCCTTCCCCATGCCCCCCCCCGGAGGATATCTGTCCTGGGTGTGCGTGTGTGAGCGAGAAAGACAGAGGGTGAGGGGCCAGGGAGCGTGAGGCCCGGGATGCAGGGGTGGGGAGAAACCACAGGTCTGCCACCACCGGGAGGCAGGAACCAGCCTATTCAGTCCCCATAGGCTGTTCCTGCTCTAATTCTCTCCACCTGCTTCTACAACCAGACCCCTCTCATTCCTGGCCCCCATCCGCACCCCCCTGGGAAACGAGAGGCCTCCTGCCACTTCAGCCACCCAACCCTCCCCAGCGCTTCCCATGGGATTCTGCAGAGCAAGCACCTCTTGGAGAGACATGGATTAAGCAATGCTGCACCCCCTCCCCCCCCAATCAGGGACTAGCTTACGAATGTCCCAGTGAAGGCAACAGAGGAACACAGGCCAAGAGGAAGGGTGCCCACACTGAGGGCAAAGAAGATGCGAGGAGAGCAGCTCACCTGACTTTCACTCATAGAAGGGGCTCAGGTAAGAGACGGCTTCCCCACCCCTACTCACCCCATCTCCACCCCCATTGCAGGTAGGGGACCTCTGCTGGTTGCATAGAGGGTGGGGGGGGTGAGGCAGCCTGAACTGGGCAGTCCAGACGACCCCCTGCAGCTGCTTTGGTGCCCAAGCAAAGTTACCCAGTAGGCACATGCCAGTCAAAGGAAGTCAGAGGGCAGACTGTGACAGCTGTGGTCCCTTCTAACCTTGCCTCCTCCTGCCAAGTCGGGGTGGGGGTGGCAAGACATGGCAAGGGCGTCCCAGATGACATCTGTTAAGCATCAGTTTTGGGAGGGCTGGTAGGAGCCTTGGTCTGCCAGCCAGAAGCTGCCCCATTATATGCCCTAGGGCCCAGAGGGAACCCCTCCTGTTGCAGGGTCACAAGCTCTGAGGGGGTTCACGGCTACTCTATTTTTTCTTAAGACTCTCCTCCCCCCTCACCCCCACAGCTCATCACGCACCAACAGACAGGGGACGTGGTGGCGCTGCGGGCTAAACCGCAGAAGCCTGTGCTACAGGGTCAGAAGACCAAGCAGTCGTAAGATCGAATCCACGCGACGGAGTGAGCTCCCATCGCTTGTCCCAGCTCCCGCCAACCTAGTGGTTCGAAAGCATGCAGATGCAAGTAGATAAATAGGGACCACTTCGGTGGGAAGGTAACAGCGTTCCATGTCTAAGTCGCACTGGCCATGTGACCACGGAAGATTTTCTTCGGACAAAACGCTGGCTCTATGGCTTGGAAAATGGGGATGAGCACCGCCCCCTAGAGGCGAACACGACTGGACAAAAATTGTCAAGGGGAACCTTTACCTTTTACCTCATTGACATGGATGTCCAAACACCCAGTCAGGGAGGCCAGGCCAGCCGCTCCACAAAGCCCATTTCTCTTGAAGAAATGGGGGCCGATGAAGTCGGAGCAAATCTGTGTTCCTTCCTTACCCAGGCACAGCCCTCCCTGAGAGAAGCGGCTGCCAGTCATGGAGCAGCATCGTCCCCTGCTGGCCGTTCAGCACCCCCTCCCCCTCCCCAGCGTTGGTTCCTCGTCCTCCTCCAGAGGGACAGGCGACCGCTTGCCTGGTGGCTTGAGCACAGCAGCCAGCTGAGACCGCAATGAAAGCTGTCCTTTACATGGCAACACCAGTTTGGCCGCCTTATCTGGTGACACGGCCCCTGCTCTCTCTCCTGAGGGCACCAAGCCCTGGCTATACAACGCAAGGGCCAGCAGCTGTGCTGCTGCTGCTGCTGCTGCTGCCGCCTATAACTGAGGGCTGGAGTTCCTAAGCCTTCTGCCCAGGCCACAATCTGGGGCTGGCAGGATGAGGAGTCCAGCCACATCTGCACAGCCACACATTTCCCATCACCACCAGATTCTCTCCTCCTACTTGCCCCCCCCAAAAAAACCCTCTCCCAAGTGCTAGAACAGCTCAGCTGTGAAGGGAACTGCCGCAGAGAGACCTTCTACTGGCACCAGTAGGCATAGGGCAGGCCAGCATGAAGATGCCACTCACGGAGAGCTCCAGCATGCCAGGCCTGGGTCAGCCCCTCTCTCACAATCTCAAGCCAAAGGTTTTCTCCTAGGTTTGAAAAACACTGTCTGAGGTTTATTCCAAAAAAGAAGCAGGGAAAATCAATGGCCACGTTGCCCAGCAGCGCAGCCATAGCGCCTTCTTCATCAGGCACACAGGTATGGCACCTCCTGTGCCAACCCCAAGCCCCAGAGTCATCGAACAATCAACGTTTGCGCTTGAACTGGAATTTGTAAACTGCTGGCTGGTTTACTGTTTCCTTTTTCACCTTCACCTTCTGAGCCTTGTCCTGAAAAAAATTTAAACAAATGAAACTCACCTTTAATGCCCCGCATCTTTCAGGCAGCTCAGACAGAGGGGCGAGGCTCTGGCCTCAGCAGTTGGTCCAGGGACAAAGGAGGACCCCCAGGTGGCACTACACCAACTGCAAGACCTGACTCTCCCCCTCCCACCTCAACATGTACAAGAGGCCCATGGCTCATCCCCATGGGTTGTGCCCAATAAGACAGGCCTGAGCTGCCGAGCGCAGCCATGGGGCAGAGGATCGAACCTTGAGGAAGAGCCAGCCAGGGAAGGCCAAGCCCAGTCCCCTTACCAAGAGATCCTTCCGGGTCTGAAGCTTCTGGGCAATGACAAACATCTTCCGCTCCCGCTCAATGCGCTGTTTCAGCAGGTTGTACTGTGCCTTCCTCTGCCGGGCCAGTTTCTAGAGGAAGAAGAAGGAAGGGAAAGGGTTGGTTCTTCCACTGCAGGCAAAGAGGGAACCCCAAGAGACTGCCTCACCCTTCCAGCTGTCCTTAATGGGGTTTCCTCTTCCCACGCAGCCTCCCCAAAGCAGGGCCTTCCTTGGCCCCCACCCTGCTGTGTCCAGCACCCCAGGAAGGTCGTTCCTGCTGCCAGGCCCTCCAAGGAAAGGGAAGGGGTAAATCCTCCCCTAATGCATGGAGGGGATGCCTGAAAGGGGTTCCCTCCCAAGGTTCCCCAGATAGCTTTCTGCTGCCCTGGAGGTGTGCGAATGCGTGGGAATATGGTCTGAATCTTATCTGCGCATGATCTGGAAACATGAGAGGGCCCTGCTCTCCATCAGAATATATGTGTGTGTGTGTGTGGGGGGGGGAAAGGTGTGCTATCTCTGAGGCCTGGCTCAGTGCCAGCACAAGGCAGCCGGCTGGGGGGGGGGGAAAGGTGTGCTCTCTCTGAGGCCTGGCTCGGTGCCAGCACAAGGAAGCCGGTTGCCAGTTCCCATGGCACCCCAGCCCCAAGCTACCTGCCCCCACACAACTGGGAACCAGGCCGTATGACAGGGGCAGGTGTGAGCTAATTAGCACCAGCAAACCAGCAGACGGATCCCGACCTGTCCCACCCAAAGAAGAGGAAGACAGTGACTCAGCCCCGCTAGCCTGAACTCGCTCTGGGACTCCGGCAGGAGGGTGTAGCCCTATCTCCCATCTCCACCTCTGCATCTCTGGGCTGCTGCCACATTCCTTCGCATCTCCCACCACGTTGCACAACACTGCCTGGTGCCGACGGTGTTCTACCTCCCCTCCCCTCCCCTCCTTCCACAGCCAGACAGGGAACAGGGCAAGGAAGGCCAACCAAAGGACAAGGCACTGGGTCAGGCGAGGGCCCCACCGGCCACCCTCAGCCCACAACCCCCTCAGAGCTGGAAATATTACTGGCAGCGCCACTGCAAAGGCCCAATGCCCTCGATCCCCCCACTCAGAGGCTGGGGAGCTTGGCAGGGCCCCTCCAGAGGCTTCCCTGGTCTCTGCAACATGAAGCACTCCCTTCTCCTCAGCACAGCTCCGGGTGAACGCTCCACTGTGGTCCAGAGGCCCTCCCTTTGGCTGCTCCAGAGAAAGCCATAGTGGCACAACCCCCAACACAGGAGCCACACAGACCTGCAAGTGAGCCCGGGTGGTGGTCCCCTGAAGGGCTTCTTTCCTGAGAGTTTCAAGGGTTGGGCGATTGTACACCCGGCTGACCAGTTCTGGCGCTGTATTCAACTGGGTGGCGAGGTCAAATGTGCGCACTGGAAAAGGAAAGGTGCCTTGGCTGAAAGGCTTCTGGGGACCCAGTTTTCCTCAGCTGGGAAGAAACCCAGAGCAGTTGGCAAGTCCCTTCAAGGAAGACAGTTCCTGCTCTCTTAATAAGAGTGTTTCAGGGATGAGGAGGAAAGGAAGCAAAAACAGGGCAGCACCGGCATGGAATGCCTCAGAGGGATATAAGAAGCTACCAGGGAGGGAAGGAAGAGGAGAAACACAGGGCCACCCCACAGCTTTCTGTGTCTCTCTCCCTCCATAGCTGTCCCCCAGGAAAAGGCCACTACCAGATCTCCAGGCTCTGAATCAACGTCTATCTCAAATGTTTTGTTAAATTAACTGGGGCTCCTCTTGCAACCCTCTCTCTTCATATATAAGCCTGAAAGTGAAAATCATCTTGCCACCAACCCATGAAAATCCCTCTGAGATCCTTTCTGGTGGAAGCAGTAAGCAAAACTCTTTTTAAAAGGTCCAAATAAGCTGTCGTGCTATTGGGCAAGACCGGCCTTCTTTCCACAACCAGCCTGAGCAAAATCAGCTCAGAAAGAGCAGAGGCAATCTTGGCAGGCTGAGCCCACAATGAGGCTGGATGGCAGCTGGGCAGGAGACAAAACCTGAGGGGCCTGGCTCCTTGGCAGACTGGATGCGGCCCTTGCCCTCCTTCCTGCAGCCTCACATTTGGCAAAAGCAGCTCAGGAATCTGACAGGCGGTTTTGTGTCAAGAATTTAACAAACGTGCAAAAGACAAAGTAAAAAGGCTGCTTGGCTGCTTTCCTCCGCTCCAATCTATCCCCATCCAACTCCACCAGCTACCCTGCTCCCAACCCCCAACCCCTTTCTTCAGGGCAAGGAAAAAGATGGGAACCAACGATGCTCTAAGGAGATAAGAGGTGAAGCACAGGGCGCTGAACGGTTCCCCCCACCGGGCCCCACAAAAAAGGCAGGATTCCCTTTACCTTCCTCTTTGGTGTCGAAAAAGAAGGTGTGCTTGTTTGCTTGTTTTCCTTCTGCTTCCAGCAGGTGGAGCTCTGACTTCAGCCTTTCAATTTTCTGAGACAAACGGAAGCCATTAAATGTCAGTCCTCTCCCAGCTTTGCCTGGAAGCCACAGCATCACACCACCCACCCTTCTCTGGCACTCTGTCCATCCTCGGCCCCCTTTTCAGGGGCAGTCATCCTGTGCGGAAGGCTTTTCCTTGGTAAGCAGAGGTCAGATGCCCCACGAAGCAACCCTCAGCCCTATCTAGGACGAGAGCGCCTGCTTGAGGCCACACAGACCCCCCCCGGCACAGAGCCTCCGTCCCTCTGATCATAAGCAAGACGAGAGCAAATCATCAGGCACATGTTGGACACACCACAGGCCTTACTTAGCGACAGTTTGCTGCAGCCCTTCCACACACCCTCCTGCCCAAGTTACAGGAGGCGGTGTTTAAGAAGGCTTAACAAACCTCCTCGTGAGCCACCATCCTTGGGTGCTCCATAGCTGTGCGGCCCATCACTCCTCACGTGCCTTTCCTTCATGCCTCCCCACCACCACCACCAACCCTCTCAACTGGAGACTGCCCTGAGGAGAACCACATGCTTGACTCTGAGGGCAACAACAACAACAACAACGGTCTCCGTTATTGTCCACAACCAGTAAGAACATTGAAAAAAGAGACAGCGGGTGAGAGGAAAAGGTTGACACCTCCCCTGCCCAGTTAGTCTGTTCTGACTGCACTGAGCAATCTCCCCCCCCCCCCATGTGTTACCTTGATAAAACCATCCCAGAAATGACAGAAGAGCAGGCAAATCCTCCAGGACTCTTCATGGAGAGATTAAAAAGGGGGGAGGGGAGGGGTCCCAGGGTGAAGACGGAACCTGGGATGGGGCAGCCCGCAGAGATTCAGGCACCCACCCACTGATCCCTGTCATTTCTCTTGGCACCTGGGCAGCGGCGGCAGCAGAAGGTGCCTGGAGGAGGGGGGATGCCAATCATCATTGAGACTGCAGACCTTCACCAGCTCCAGGGAAACCCTCAGGAGAAAAAGATGACAGGTGGATGGACCCTGACCTTGGCTTCAGCCACACGCTTCATTTCAATGTATTTCAGATCCTGGGTCCTCATCAGCTTCTGCTGCTCCAAGGTGGTTTCCTCTTCTGGCTGCTTAATGACATGCACGCCATCCTACGAGCAATCAAATACATGGAATGAGCTTCAAGGAGACCAAGGGGAAGGGGCCTCAAGAAGGGCCCCTCTGGCTCACAAGGACAGCGGACAGGACAAGCCAGCCACCTCCCATGGGACCCTTCTGGACAGAAGACCTACAAATGGTCCCCAAATGTGAGATACAACTCTGGCTACTTAATTCAAGCACTTATGGGGCAGAGGGAAGACTCACCCTCCCCACAGCCACCACAGTCTGAAAAGGATGGCAGAAGATCTCATCCCATCCTGCCTCCCCAGGCTGGCGGCCCCACGATGCCAAGTGAAAGCACCTGGCCTGACCGGGCAAAAGAATGGCTGCCAAAGCGCCGTCCTGCCAGGCTTCTGGAATCCCACTGGAACCGAAAGCTTGTGCCAACAGCTTTGTGCATCTAAATCAAACAGGCCTGCATTCTCTTACACAGGAAGGCCAGTTCACTTCCTTGCTGCTGTAAACACACCAGAATCACGATGCTAGAGAGGGCTTTGCCAGATAATCGCCCTGAGGCCATTCTCCAGGGCTGCCCAGAGGCAGGCGCATCATCCGATCCAGTTGCTGCCCAGACTACCAAAAGGCCAAAGCTGCTGACCCGCCAGGGATACAGCCCGGGAGCGGCCCCTCCTCTCCGAGGCTCACCTGCAGCTGCACCCGGGTCATCCTGAAATAGAACTCATCCGGGTTCTTCTCCTGAGCCTTCCGGCGAAGCGCCTGGAGCGCCTTCTGCTTCTTGTGGTAGTCACTGGAAGGCAAACCAGGCGAGAGGG